TCTATCTATCTATCTATCTATCTATCTATCTATCTATCTATCTATCTATCTATCTATCTATCTATCTATCTATCTTTATAGATATATGTTATTGTTAAGTGCTGTTGAGTTAGTTCCAACTCATAGTGACCCTATATAGGGTTACCGAGGAGCAGCTGGTGGGTTTGAACTGCTGACCTTGTGGTTCAAAACCAACCTTGAGGTGCTACAGTGCTTTATCCTACAGCACCACACCAATGGTGGCTTTAAAAAGTTTGGGGGGGAAAGTCCAGTCTCTTTTCATTTCATTTATCCATGAGCTTTGTGGAACTCCTTCATATACTTGTTTTACTGGTTTTGCTCCTCTAGACAACCCAGCTTAAGACAGCAAGTTATTTTCAATTTATGGTAAATGGTATAGAGTTTCATTTTAAAATTAAGTTAATAAATCAACTAACTTCTTTCATAAACAATATGGCTTTTTTAAAAATATGAATATGGAAATAACTTAAGACAATGACACACCAGTGAATGACATTTCAGAAACTTCTCTGAGGGACTTTAACATTTGCATCTTATTCTCAGCTTTCTACACATGAAGGAAGGATCTGAATAGTACACATAGAAGCACATGACTGAGGTACCTAGAAGAGAGCTCCTATATGGCAGAAATAGGATGACATCTGCCCTGTGGTAGAAGACATAAAAAAGGTAGATCTTGATGAAGATCTGGATGCTTTTTGTATTTTCTGGAATGATTTTCCTTCACTTTTCCCTTAGCATTAAGAAAAACTGTTGGAAAGCATTTGTCTGCCTGAACTGTGAAAAGGAGTTATCAAAGAGGATAAGTAAGCATACTCTAATTGCTGCAGCTGGAATTAGAGATCACCCAAGAAAAATGTGAAAGCATGTTGGCAGTTTCTTCCCATCTGGAATTTCTTCTTGGCTTCATTCTACCAGAAACTTGATTATGTTCCACTTTGATATAACATGGAGGTTGTTTCCCTAATGTAATGAATGGTGTGGTGCTGTAGGATCAGCACTGGACTGCTAACCACAAGGTTGATGGTTCAAACCTACTAGCCACTCCTCAGAAACCCTATACAGGGTCACTGAGTCAGAACTGACTTGATGGCACTTGACGACAAGAAAAACAAGGAACCAACTTGACTTAACAACAACTTAACAGCAGGAAATGATAGTAGCTACTGCTGTACCAGCTGTGTTCCAGTTTCTTTTCAGTCTTTTGTCATTTAATCTTCATAATTCTATTCCAGGAGTGAGCCAACAGACTCAAAGGTTAAGGGATTGGGTCAAGTCACACAACTGAAGTTCAAATCTACACTTGTTGGACTCTCAAACTCTCCATCACCACAAACCATCATTCTGCCTGGGTTCAACCTTTGCTTGAAATACAATCACAGTTTCTTTTCCATGTGGTTTCAGAAGCTTACACCCATCCAGAAGAAGGATTTAAAGATAACACCTCCTTCAAAATGTCACAATTCTGGAGAGTATAAAGGCTTAACAGTCTCAGTTCCTAAACCAAAGGTTGGAGGTTCAAGTCCACCCAGGAACACCTCAGAAGAAAGGCTTGATGAGTTACTTCTGAAAAATCAGGCACTGAAAACCCTGTGGGCACACAGAGGGTCACCATGAGTAAAACTTGACAACAAATAGGAATTTTTTTATGTACTTTGGCCTTCAATGCCCAGGTACATCTGTAGGACTTTACTGAGATGTTCTCTTGTTTGAATTTTAGTGTTTCTCAAAGTAAGTTTTCTAATTACTGCTAGAATTGGCAACATCAATAGAGAAATGGGAAAGGACTTCCCCTCCCTATGTTTATATAGGATAGTTAGTCTGGGCCACAGTCACACATACATGCGTGATTAGGGATTTATTGACCAACAGAAGGAAACACTGACAGACAGATATGTGTGCAAAGAGTGCTCACTTCTTTTTTCTCTGAAATATTTTGAACTATATTGTTGCTGTTTTTGAGTGCTGCAGAGTCTCTCTTTTTTTTTTTTTTTTCCAAAAGGTTCCTGGTGCCCACAAGACCTATAACACATCATTCTAATGAGGAATTTTTCAAAACTATTTTCCAAGAATCAATGCATTTTTTAAAAAGAAAACCCAGGTACAATGTACTAAAAAACAAAAGCTACAGGTTACACGTCATAATAAAGCAGTTTATTAAACTTATTTTAAGACCCCTTAAGTTTTGAAAATAATGTAGAAGGTGGTAATTTAGTGGGGACCCTCCACCCCTAGAGAACATCTGAGAACATTTTCTCTAGTAATAAAGGGCAAAGTACATGCAGTTGTATAAACCGCAAATACTCCACTAGTGTTATGAGAGTAGGAGATCGCCAGTTGGGGAAAAAAAATTCTTTTTGGCGTCTTCCACCCCACTTGGCGCTCCCCTGAGGTCAATAACGTGGTCACACAGCTTGGAAAGAAGTCATTCTTTTGAGTAGGGATTGGAAATATCCCGTGGGGGAGACATTATCTCAGACAAGGGTAAAAAGATCAATGTAAGTTACATTACATGGACTTGCAAACTCAGAGGAGTTCTCCCCTTCTCTTTTATTGTTTTTTGTTTTATCAACTGAGGATTCTCGAATTTCTGAAGCTAAAGGTGATCTAAAGGTAGGAGACTGGTCCCAACCAGCGCGTAGGAGGGAATGAACTAAAGCCAATGCTGACGTTTCTGTTAACCTTAGCAAAAATAAAAAACTTTGGGAATAAATAGCCCTACTTGGGTATATTTGTTACAAAAGCAGCAATAACAGAGCGCTTAGGAGAAAGGCAGAGCTGAGTGCTGAGCGGGCATTCAGTGAGGGAAGAGAAATCTGAGGTCTAAGGGATGCTGGATTATTTGGCACAGAACTTCACTAGCTCCGAGGAATCATCTGAGCATCTCATTAAAACGTAGACTCTGGTTTTGTCTCGGACTCTGCCCAGAAATTCCTCATAAGCATTGGACTGGGAACTACAAGATGGATGGTTCGAGCCCACCAGCTGCTCAGGGGAGAAAGACAGATTTCTGCTCCCGCAAAGATTTACTATCTCAGAATCCCTATACAGGGTCACTATAAATCAGCATTGACTCCATGACATTTACTAACAGGTTCCTAGGTATTACAGCTGCTGTTGGTCTGCGGACCAAACTTTGAGTAGCAAGGTATTTATCTATAGTAGGGAAGGAATTTCAAGCTAGAGGGACAAGGAGGTTTTCTGGAAACTATAAATTTCTGAGATACCGGTCATTTCAAAAGGCGCAACGACAGAAACAAATTAGAATTGGCAGGGAAGGAGCCTAAAACTAGTCAAAGAAGGAACACAATCTCCAAGCACTTACTCCGAACAGGGTCATTGGATGAAGGGAAGGTGTTCGCCCCCAAATTTAGAAAACGTCGCGAGGAATGAGCTAGGGGATCTTTGGAAAGGGCTGGGGATGCTCACATGGAGACAGTAGGTACCTGGACTTGTCTTTAGCTGGAGGGTTTGGAGGCCGGGTTCTTGGTAGCCCTGGGTCCGGACTGCCCTTACCTGCGTTCGCCCTGATCAGTGTAGACGTTGAGAAAGAGCCCCTCCCTGGTGTCCTGGTACACCAGGCCGGAGAAGCTGAGCTGCAGTTTGTAGTGGCTCCCAGGTTGCAAGGCCTCGCCAAGCTCTAGTACCAAGTACTGTGTGTCTAGCGCAAACCACACGTCGTTTATAGGCACAGTGCCCACAGTGGCGTCCCCGGACTCCGAGGATAGGGGACCCTGCACCTCGGCATGCTCACAGTTCAGGAAGAGGCTGTGAAGCAGCAACCGCGTCGTGGACACAGCACAACGCACGGTGATGTTCACGCGGCCGGTAAATATCAAAGAAGTCGTGGAAAGGTCGTCCGGCCGCAGTCGAGGCCACAGCTCCAGCTCGTAGTGCAGTGGCACGATCCAGGACGGCAGGCGCAGCTGGTCCCAGGGCCCCGGGGGTCGCCAGTTGCGCGGAGTGTACGCCACCGCCGGTTCCCGAGCAGGGTCAGGCTTCGAAGTTAGCGGAGGTGCCTCTCCACCGTTCCGCGGAGAGGTGGCGACAAAGGGGACCCCGCGACCACACATCTCCGACGGCTGAACGCGAGCGCACTGACCGTACAGGGCAGCAAACACCGCCAGCGCTAGCAGAAGCACGGCTGCCAGTCCCGCCAACAGAGCGGCCACCACCCGGCTCACATAGAAGCCGGAGCTGGAAGAGGGCCCCATGGCTAAGGTGTGGGTTAGGTAGAGTGGCGAAAGCGGCGGCGGCTCAAACCCCAGACCAGGAGGTACTCAGCGTTGGGACCCCAGCCCCTCCTCTCTGTACAGTCCCTCCTCCTCAAAGAGCCCGGCAGGGTTGGGAGGCGGGAGACAACAGTTGGGACCTCAGCTTCCCCCTCCCAGCTAATCAGATTCAGGTCCCTGCCTACCCACCTCCCACCCCCGCTAGAGCCCGGGGGGAGGGGGGGAGAAGGCGGACCCAGCGCAACCAGGCGCGCGCCCCTTCGGGTCCTAAGGGAAACACCGCACTGAAGAGGCTTCCAGGGTAGACGTGGGATAAGGTGGTCAGAGCAAATTTAGATATGGATAACTTTGACCTGAATATTTGGATTAACAGGATTTGTTGGGATGTGTCCCTGTAAGGTTTCAGGTGTTGTAGAAAGGAGACAGGTACAGAGCATACTCGGTTCCTAGACCATAGTGACGACTTGCTGCCACCCCGCACTTGGTGCGCTAGTGGGTGGGGTGAGGGCTTGAGGAGCAAGACTTTTGGAGATACACTCTGAAATGACGCTGGTGGCCGCAACGTCACAACAAATTTATGGATCCAAATCTTTTAAATAACCTCCTGGATAAACTCTGGGCACAAGGGACCCAGGCAGCGTGCGAGAGGAGGGGAATCCGGAGAGGAGGGAGTGGGGCTAAAAAGAAAACGGAGCTGAGTAAGACAAAGGTAGGGAACCTGGCCTTTACACATCCCTGACAAAAGGGAGAAGAGGGCTGCCTTACATTGGAAAGGGCCCGGGAGAAAAACCTCCACTTAACTAGGCATCTGCAGGGGGAGGGGCTTTCCAGGCGGTTCTGGCTCTGCACGAAAACACCATTGCCCAGGGAAAGGGGGGAGTCTTACTTTCCAAAGCGACCCATTTAAAGCAAAAAAGAATAAAATAATCTGGCGGCCAGCTTTTCTACCCGGAAACCACAGGGCTGGAACTCGTTTCCCAGACGGTGCCCTAGCCGGTGAGTTCTTTGGCATGCCCCGCATCTGTTTGCTATTTAGTTGGTGCGCCTGGGAGAGTTCTTCTGCTTGTGCGCGAGGTTCAGAGTAAGCACGCAATCACATACTCCAGTGAATTGGGGATGGGTTTGCAAATACTCAGGAGACGCTTAGAGCGAGGTAGGGGACAGTGGCTAAGGGTCCGGTTGCTGGCAGATTTATATGCGTTTATGAGTCCTGGTGTGGCGCTGTGGGTTAATGTGTCAGACTGCAAAGCCGTTTGAATTGGAAGGTCGGTGGTTCAAGCTCACCAGCTGCTCCTTGGAAACCCTATACTGAGTCGCTATGGGTAGGAATCAACTCAACGACATTTAACAACAACCTACTATTTTTAATTGTTCAGAGCGAAGAGGATTTTTTTTTCCTGTCCTGTAAATACAAGAATCCTAGCTTTCCTACTTTGAACTATGCAGGTGTGCGTGTATGTATAGCCCTTTCCGCGGCAACCAAGGTACATCCGTAATCCCATAAATTGTGTGTGTGTGTGTGTGTGTGTGTGTGTGTGTGTGTAGAAAGCTGCTCTCCGTTTGCTTATTATTTTCCTTTAACGGCTTGAAACACCGCAAACCCAGACTGGGCCAGGCAGGTGAGGCAGAGGACATGGCTCTGGGCAAGGCTCTCTGATTTTGTCCAGCCGCCAGACTAGCAGCATAGCAGTCAGGGCTGGGCACTCACCGTTCACTCCTCACTTTGTTTATTCTGCTCCAAAGCCTCTCAGCCACTGCGAAGGAAGCATCGCTGCCTATTCCTCTGGCCCCAGCTAGCTGCTTCAGCAGCAGCGATGAACACAATCGGAAGTGGGCTCTCAAGTTTTTAATAAAGTGCACAAACAAGTCTAAATCAGGTAACATCCCACTTCATAGAACTGCTGTTTTGCCCGCTGCTGTGTGCCTTCGAGTTGGTTCCGACTCATAGAAACCCTATATAAGATTTCTGAGGCTTTAAATCTCTATGGGAGCAGAAAGCCTTATCTTTCTTCCTCTGACATGCTGGTGGATTCGAACTGCTGACCTTACAGTTAGAAGCCCAATTTGTAAGCCAGTATATTTCACAGAACGTGTGGGCATCAAACAATGAATACTAGTTTCTCCCTTCCAACAAGGAAAACCTACCTGAGTTCAGAGAAGAAGTACCACTGGGAATTCCTGCTCTTGAAGCTGAAACTAATCATTTTAACTAAAAAGCCTCTGGAACAAGAAAGGGAAAGTGAAGGACACTTGACACCAGGCTCATACAGATGGCTGTGCTGTAATCTGTGGATCAGTCTCCTGATTCCAATTGGATTTGCTTTCTTCAGAAACATAACAATCATATTTAAAAATAATTGTGACCACATGTATCACTTCAGAAGGCCCTGGTTAGACCTGAGGGAGAAGTTCCTTCTATTTCTGTCTACATCACTTGGATTATGCAAATCATGCTGTCAGGTTTGTAAACTGCAGCTTTCCTGGAGATTCTGGGTTTAGGTTATTGTCACATTTCATGAAGTGAATTAATTACTGGCTTTGTAAACTCCTAAACAATTTCTTAGGAATTCTGAAGGATTCTAGACTCCTGGTGTGGCACTGTAGGATAAGCGCTGAACTACTTACCACAAGGTGGCTGGTTCAAACTCACCAGTCACTCCTCGTAAACCCTATACAAGGTCTCTATGAATCAGAACCTACTAGACAACACCTTACAAAGTAGTAACAGGATTGCTTCACACTTGAATCAGAGGTATCCCTCCACTCAACCACACAGGAAACTACTAAAAAATGATGTTGTTGTTGTTTAGTGCTGAGGAGTTGGTTCTGATTCCTAGAGACTCCGTAGAGGGTTATATACTTTGCCTCATTAAAATAATTGCAATGCCCTCCATGTACCAGTGGTTAACAGTATTTACCTCTATTGGCTTTAACCCGTGCACTCCTCCCTGTTTCTCCCGCTACCTCCCGCTATCTTCATCTTCCCTCTGCTAACTTCCCTCTTGGATATTGCCTGCCCCATCACCCATGTTAACATGTGTCTACTCTCTATCCTGTTAATAATTTTCCCTGCCCCTCCCTTCGAAAACCATCATAGATTGCTTCTTTTATTAAGAAAACCTTTTCTGAACTTTTTACAACATTGGTCTCATACACTGTTTGCCCTTTTGTGATTGACTAATTTTACTCAACATAATGTTATCCAGGTTCATCCATGTTGTGAGGTGTTTCATAGATCCATCATTACTCTTCAACTCTGCATAGTATTCCATTGTATGTATGTACCAAAGTTTATTTAACCATTCTTCTGTTAATGGGCATTTAGACTGTTTCCATATATTGAAGTATCCTGTTTTCTTCTCCATTCTGCCCTCTCTTGGCTGGTGCATTTAATCCATTTACTTTCGGTGTAATTATCTATAATATGAATTAATTGCTGTCATTTTGCTGTGTGCTGCGTTTTTTGTGGTGCTTCTGGTTTCTTCATTCCACATCATTTTTTGCACTGAGTTCATTTGTTTATGGGTTTTCTTTTACTTTTGATTTCTGTTGTGTTCATGTCTACTAAATCTTTCATGCACAGGTATATTAATTTTCTTTAGGTTACCTGTAATTTCTTTTTTCCCTGTTTAAAGCAGTCTGTTTTGTTTTGAAATCTACTTGACTTCCTTGCCATTTGGCAGTTCTGTATCTATGCTGTTGCCTCTTTTTGCTTTGTAGTTGACTTCATTATAAATTGATATCTCTGGTTCCCTATTTTCAGTCTTACAGGTTTGTTTTATTTTAATTTTGCTATATCTGGATTGAGTTCTTGGTGGTAGTGTCATGTATGTTAGTCTCAGAGTGTTGTCTATTGTTGTTGGTTCTCAATCAAAGAAGACCCTTTAATATTTTTTGTAAAGTTCGTCTTGTTCTTGTTGTTGTTAGATGCCATCGAGTTGGTTCTGACTCATAGCAACCCTATACAGGGTTTCCGAGGCTGTAAATCTTTACGGGAGCAGAAAGCCTCATCTTTCTCCCGCGGAACAGCCGGTAGTTTCCAACTGCTGACCTTGCGGTTCGCAGCCCAATTCGTAATCACTACGCTACCAGAGCTCCTTAAAAGCAATAACTATATGACATGTATGAGAAAGATCAGAAAATGAATCTTCAGTCAAACTGAAATGTTGAGCTATAGTTATTTCACTGAAAATAGTGGATCAAACGTTATCACTTACTAAGTTTATTCATTCTTCACACATTGTTTTAGACATATATGATACGTTGCTCTTTCTTGTAACCATATTTTTAAATGAGACCTGCTAAAAATGGATCCAATTGAGCAACAAATTAAAGTAAACCTCCAAATATCCATTTTGTGGGAACTCAAACACTTCATTTATTCCTTATAAAGATAGTCCATGTTCAGTGATTGTTATATTGACAACAATAACATGTTGCAAAATGACCTTCCTGTACTGACATTCTTCATTAATTTGTGTTCCCAATTCATGAGTTAAGCCAAAACTATGTCTACGGTTTAAATATGGCAACATACAATTTCTGTGAATTGAACTGAGAATCATATTTCTCAGTGATATTTGATTTGTCCAAATTGCTAAATCCATCATTAGCAAATTGAGAATTAAACTGTTTAGGACTAAATAGTTTGCAAACAAAACAACATTCAGAGTTAATTGATGGAGAATACAATAGACACTCCCTCTTTCAAGAAGTTACATCATTAGAAGAAAACTTATCCTACAAAGCATGATATGTATTTCTATTACTTACGAGATCTGCAACTGTGATGATTTCAGGTTCTAAAGTAGTTTCACCTTCAACACCAGTATACATATCTATTTACTGTATCAAGGTAAGGATGTACAATTTAGGACAAATTTTGTATATTTGCATTGCTATTAGTGATTTCAACACTAACGGTACTATAGAATGATTTGTACTCATTAAACTCAAGCATTCAGTGGAAGAAATCTCTTCTG